AAATATTTCATTCCACATACATTCAATGAGGATTTAATGTAATCGGATCTGTGGTTCCTCATTAGACGGTATGTATTCCTGGAAGATATTTTGCTTATAACAACCTGTAAGATACGATTGTAATCAACACTGAATTTCACCATTGAAACTTGTAAATTTGGAGTCGTTTTGAATCATATTAATGCTCATGAAAAACGCATTGAATCAGATGCGGGATTCCTTATTACAGCTAATAAATGCTGCTCTCACTGTTTCCTGTCTTTCCACACGATATCATATACGATTATATTCGTTGATTTCTACACATATATCATACCTTTTCAGGCTCGTGAATGAGCAATGAAATATAATTGAGTATCGTGATTGGAAACCTTATACAAACAACTAACAAGATACAAAGTTATGTGTAAAATTGTGCCAGTCATTTTTAACCTTCAATCATTGAAACATATGAACCTTACAGGAACTTATAGAACCCTATATATATCAGCAATGAATTGTCTATTTCAAACTCAAGAATCCTCATTTATCCAAATTAGCAATGAGGATGAAGTGATGCAATATTCGAGATAAAAAATACTCACAAGTTTATGCATCATGGCGGATGTTCAACCTCTTGGTGCGAACAAAGAAACAGATCCCGTTGGTAATCATGAGTAATTTTCACATTTATCCAAAAGTTATTTCAGATTGGAGCACTATCGAATCCACTACACTACACATGATATGATATGCAATTCACACCTCAATTCTCAACAATAATTTCAGAATGATGGGTATATTCTCTCGAATCAAAACAGAGATACCTGTCTTCCTTCGCGAGCAACATAAACTAAAACAAATATGGCTGGCTAGTGGCTAGCTCAGTCTCAGAAGTACCAACGCAAAAAAGTTACTGTTTTGTTACCAACTTGAATTTTGTGTTCCCCTCTATGTGGAGACTTAATGACTCTCCAAGTGAATTTTCAAATGTGAATCTATGTGGATTTATGAGTTACCTATGTTATGAATTTGGCTTTGTTGTTCGGGTTTTCATGTGGATCTATCAGTTTCTAGTAGGCATGAAAATATATAATAGTTTCTTGATGCAATGCTGATAGGAATTATGAGAATGTATGAGGATATAAAGTATATTGAATGATTTTTATGTGATCGAATGAGGATTCATTTGGCAAAAACCCTCAGGCTTCTTCGTCTCTTCGAATTGTGTGCGTATTCAAGTTGAAATACCAGTACCAATATAAAAACAATTCTGTTTTGATGAGCTAAAGTTTTTGCAATAAATCGGAAAATATGGCAATATAAAGGGTCGTGTGATTAAAAAAAAAAGATGATAAAAGGTGGTCTGGAACTTATTTGTAACGAAATCAGGGGGTGTTGAATATATAGAAAAAAAAAAGGAAATCAATAAGTTTTTTCCGAGAAAGTGACAATCAATATAGTTATATTTTCAAATAAAATATACAGGGTATCTGTAAAAGGTTCGGACATGGCTCGGCTGTGGACTCCTGGGATAGAAACAAGTTGATTTAGGCCAACTTACCTATATCCAAAATCGTCTCGTTGAGTTGGTACAAGGCGTTGAATTTTTTTTGGAAAAAAATAATTTTGCTCATAAAAAGAGAAGGCTGAGATCAATTTCCATAATTTTTGGCATGGCATGTTCCTCAACTGTAAGTCACGTTTTGAGATGTTCTTGATCATAATCAGTGACCTGCAAGTGTTTCAAACAACCATGTTGCCGTACAAATTTGGTGATAACTTTCCAGAGGTCGGACTGGAAACTTCCAGTTTTTTTCCAGAAAAATATTTTCTTTAAAAATATTTTTTGTATCGTGTTTATCTTTGATATGTCTCGAGGTTCATTTGCAAATAAATAATTTCTGATATGATGCATCCTGTGCATTTTTGAAAATTAATCTAATTAGTTGGACTGTTTATTGATCATGGCTACAATATGATTTATTATTGTAAATAAACTGATAAGTTGCTGGTCCTCGTTGGCATTACAAGAACTTTCAAGTCATAAATTTAGCGAATACAGGACCCAAGGTGAGCACTTTAACGCCTTGTACCAACTCAACGAAATGATTTTGGATATAGGTAAGTTGGCTAAAATCAACCTATTTTTATCCCAGGAGTCTACAGTCAAGCCATGTCCCAACCAGATTATTTTTCTTAAAAATGCATAAGATGCCTCAGATCAGAAATTATTCATTCGCAAATGATCCTGAAAAAATAACAAGATACAAAAAATATTTCTGAAGGGAATATCTTCCTGGAAAAGAAACTGGAAGTTTCCAGTCCGACCTCTGAAAAGTTTTCACCAAATTTGAACGGCAACATAGTTGTTCGAAATACTCGCAGGTCACTGATGATGATCAAAAACATCTCAAAACGTGACTCACAGTCACAGAACATGCCATGCCAAAAATTATGAAAATCAATCTCAGCCTACTCTTTTTATGAGCAAAATTATTTTTTCCGAAAAAACTTCAACGCCTTGTACCAATTTAACGAGACGAGTTTGGATTTAGGTAAGTTGGCCTAAATCAACTTGTTTTCATCCCAGGAGTCCATAGCCGAGCCCTGTCCCAACCTTTTACAGGCACCCTGTATATATAATGTTCACCTTCAACAATGCCGTGCGTTCAAGCACTGACTCTGATATATTATATGAACACAAAAATTGTACCTACGCAATGGTGTCTTGCAGAATTGAAGTTATGAGCTATCAAAAATTTTATTTCTCATAAAAACTGCTGGTAACCTTATAATATTAGAACCGTGCGTGTTCTCATTAGGAATTACAAATCTTTGAACTGATTTTCTCATACAAACTCATTTGATACATTTTGGATTGAGCATGCATTGTCTGATTGAAACTAGTAAACAGATTCCGCATAAAACCTCTTGTTTTATTATTATCATCATATAACCACTGTCAATCATTGTCATTAATCCTCATAGGATCTGATAATATATATTTTGAACTTGAAAATATTGTACTATTGAAAACTCACACAAACTTATAGGAAACATTTCATATTGGACATGAACTATATATCCTCATCAACCCTCAAGAAGTCTATAACACATTATATCCTTAGCTTCAGCATTGTCTTTACAAACCTCGAAAACATACACATCTCATTCAAACTCATTAGATACCATTCAGATTAGGCATGTATTGTCCTATCTAAACTTGTGAATCCTTATACAAAAATTCTGCATGAAACCTCTCAACATACCATTGAAGTCATAACTGTATATCCTTATCAACACTCATGAATTCTGGAACACATACAGCCTCGGCTTGACCCATAGGATTCGTTTCATTTCAAATCAGTATTGTCTTTTCAAACTACAAAAGTCTTCAGAACATACACATCTCATACAAACTAATTAGTTACCATACAGATTAGACATGTATTGTCTTATCAAAACTCGTGAATCCCAATAACGCATTATTTATTTCAACGTATGGATACAGTCATAACGGTGAATCCCTATCAACTCTCATGAATCCTTAAACAAACATTTCCTCATGAGATACATATCTCATAAAAAATGATCAGATACATTTCGAATCAGACATGTATTGTCTAATCTAAAATCTTGAATCCTTATACAGCAATCCCGCATAAAACCTCTCAAAATGCCATTGAAGTCATAATGGTATACCCTTATCAACACCCATCAGTTTTGATACACATCAAGCCTCAGCATGACCCATAGGATATACATTCCGTTTCAAATCAGTAATGTCTTTTCAAACCCCAAAAATCCTCAGAACTAACACATCTCATACAAACTTATTAGATACCATTCAGATTAGGCATGTATTGTCCAGAATTCTTAGACAGAAATAACGCATGAAACATCATAACATACGAATACAGTTATAACGGTAAATCCTTATCAACACTCATGAATTCTGAAACACATCTTACCTCAGCTTGACTAATAAGATACGTTTCATTATAGATCAGTAATTGCTTATAAGAAATCTCGAATACTTGAAACCACATATACCACATACAAACTCATCAGCAACCGATAGAATCATGGCAGCAGTTCCCTATTGAATATCATAATTTATCGAACACTTTTCACCCTCACAAAAACCCATGAAATACGTTGAAGATTATATCTATATTGTCTTTTAAAAACTTATGATTACTCAATAATTATTTACCGGATTCAAGCTGATAAGAAACCTATAATTTTAGAACCGTGTTTTCATATTTGAGCTCATAAACCTAGAAACTAGTTGTCTTATAAACACTCATTGGACACATTTCAGATTAGGCATTCATTGTCTAATTGAAACTCGTAAATTCTCAGTTATTCTGAGTCACATGAATGCTAATAGAAATCGCATTAAATTAGATAAGGAATTCCTTAGTGAAACTCTGAAATCCTGATATATTTTTTCCTGACGATACCCAATAGAATTCTATTAGTGAATTTCTACACATTTCTCATATATACTAAGGCGCATGAATGTGCATAGAATACTTTTCCAATTGGAAGTGGAATATCTTATTGGTGGTCATAGGCTCTTCAAACCACTTGTGCCTGATAAAAACTCTCATACTCCATATTTGTATACGCTTATAAATCACATATACTCATGAAATATCATTAAACCTTTTAGAAAGTTCATGTGCCAGAGATAATGTACTCATACGCTACAGAACTCGGTTATATATCCTTATTAATACTCATATTTTATCTATATTTCTTCATGAGACTTCATAAGGTATTTTTGGCAGGGTTGCAATGTATTGTGTTTAAGAAATCGTGTTGCCATAGTAATGTGTTTAATATATTGAATAAATCACAGATCGACAATCCGTGATTAATCGATCATTTAGCGTGGTAGATATCGTACGCTAAATGCCATTTTAGTTATGTGAGCAGAAAAATTCTATTTCGCTACGTACCAGTGGCCTTGCTTCAGTCCCAATGCCTGCACGATCTCGACGCGTTCCGACTCGCTGATCTTGATGCCGCTTTCCAGTGTCTTCATCATCTCCTGGACGGATTCATCGATGGCTTTGGTGTATCTGTTGCGAGTGTTGACCAGTTTTTCTATGTGCTGGATGCGAGCTGCCGGGGTCACGCTGGGTCTCTTGAACATCGACAGAATGCGTCCTAGTGAAAGAAATATAATACAATGGAATTATAAAGAATCATCGCATTGTATATTTGGATCATTCCTCACAGTGTATACAGGGTGGCCACCTTTTTGATGGGATTGTATTGGTAACATTCAAACCAATCTAGCGGTGGAAACTAATAAAAAATATCAGGACCGGTTCTTGAGATATGACGAAAAAACAAAATTAGACCATTCCGGTCATTTGGTTATCCTTTTATCTATTTGCAGAACTACCGGCCCTGAAACTTTCGATTCGTTTTAACTGCTAGATGATACGCAACTTTTTCTCCATTAAATCGACCTGGTGGAGGACGGAGTATCGACTGATACCATTGCCATCAATTCCGGCGTTCCACCAGGATCAATTTTGGCATTCAACATTGTTCCTACTTCATATCAATGATCTCTAAGAACTTACGACGTAGGCAGGTCAACGCTATCAATGACGATATTGCTGAAATTATAGCCTGGGGAACCAATAACAACCTCAGTGAATTCAACGCCACCAAATACTCTAGCCTGTATTTCCTCTTGAATGGCATTACTCATTAGTTTGCCTCATATAACAATGTCTGGTACCATGGATAATCATGTCAGATCCATCGAGAAGGCTGCTTCACGAAACTACTTCAGATAGACGACCAGTTCTACAATACTGTTTCCACATATGGGGTTCATGACCCAAACACACGCTGATGGCTGTTAGATTTCATCCAGAGTAGAGCAATTCGCCTGGTCGGTGATACGCCACACTCACTAATGCTTAAGTATCCCAAAATCGCTGGGACGCAGAGTTACCCATGTAATACGGTTCAAAATAAGTTGATTGGTTCCAACTTATTTATATAAAAAATATACCGTTTGTCCATGAGACGAGTTCGAAGTTTACATAGAAAGAACATATTTTTGTGCGCAGTTCAAAAATGATTGAAACAAATTGGATGAAATTTGACAAAAGTGCATTTCAGAGGATAACCCTTCTTTCAGTAGTCGAATAAACCTGAAAAAAATTGTAGAAGGGTTGAAATCACCCTCGTCACCCCCTGACACTTTTTTCAGAACATTCTTAGGGGTCCCAGGTAACAAGCTGACGTCATTTGTACATCAATATATGGTCATTTATGGTCATTGACGTCATATGACCTCAAAATGACGTCATTTGGACGTACTTAATATGACGTAATATAGACGTCCTTGATATGTCGTCAATATGACGTCATCTGATGGTCATTTTCATGACTAATTATGACCATCATTTATTGAGTCATCTACATCGAGGAAAATTCATAATCAAGAAGTTTATTCCCATCTCTGTTATATGAAAACGTTAGTAGTTATGTTATATAACATATATTATTATGTCACTCATCATATATTATGCTTTATAATAATTTTTCCTCTAATCTGTGCGAGATGTGTGTTTTCGATGGTCTCTGAGATAATTGTTAATTATATACCTTCTGTGCAAAGTATTCTCCCTATAGCTTTTAAAAATATAAGACCGAATTTCAAATCAGAGCGGGAGAGTGCGTAGAGAACTGCACTTGATTGGTCGGCACGGACCTTGCGCAGACATGCGATCGTCGACCATCAGCGCCAAGCCACAGTCATGAGTCAAGCCGTTCACTTTCGCTTCGCCGTTGCGGCCATGATGACCATAACAACAAAATAACAATACATAGAACGCCATCATTATCATGTTATTCAGCTATCTATGTGGTGTGGTGTGGTGGTCATACTTATTCATATTCATGTATCAAGTAGTAGAATTTGAGGATGGCAGCATGGTCATTATTTTAGACAAGTGGTGTATGCCGAAAAAGCAGAATGTGAATTGGACGCCATTGAAGGAATACCATAGGGTCCTGAAGAATCTCTCGAGTGCATCATCCGAATGGGATGAGTTCCTAATAAAAAGAACATTTTATGAAACTGGTATTTATAGTACACCTATAATATTATTTTGAATTCAATGTGGTAAAGGAACATCAATATAATTATACAAAAAAAATCTCATCTTTTCTGATAATATTTATACAACCCTGATACTAGAGTGTTTTTTTTTACCTACAGAAAATTCCGAAATAGCACAAAATAAATTGAAACATGCAAAAGATTTCAGTGATATAAATAATCGTAAAGATCACGTCATTTTGACGCCATTAGGATGTAGTCATTTTAACGCCATTAGGATGACGTCATTTTGACGACATGAAAATGACGTCATTAGTCTTTGACTTAGAAGGTCATATAAACGTCATTATGACGGTATTTTGGAAGTCATCCTGACGTCAGGCCTGACGTGATAATGACGTACAAATGACGTACGCTTGTTACCTGGGGTGGTAATAGGGTTCTCAAATTTTTTAAAGAGATGACTGATGAATTATCTTCATTTTGTTACTCCTGTGGAAATGTTGTATTCCGCATAATTCCGAAGGAAAAAATGTTTTCTTAAATAACGCTAACAAATATTCCTGGTCAAAGTTTGATAACATGTAATATAAAATTATTTGGCAGTGGAAACAAACGAATTGACATTTGTATTGATGTATGTGAGCGTCATATTGAACATTGATTTGAAAAAAGTTGTACCTTCATTTCTACTGACAACTATATTTTTTTTCACTAAAATGATATTGAACTTTTCATAGTATTTTTTGCATTCGGTCCTATGATGAATACGAAATTTCCACAAGCGTGCCGAAATTTGAGAACATTATCACCACCCCTAAGAATATGTTCTGAAAAAAATGTCAGAGGATGAAAGTGGTTTAAACCCTTCAACAATTTCTTCTGGGTCTCTTTGATTACCGAAAGGAGGGTAATTCTCTAAAATGCACTTTTGTCCAATTTCATCCAATTTGTTTCACTCATTTTGGAACAGTGTACAAAAGTGTATTTTTTATGAATACTTTGAACTCGTCTCAAGGACAAACGGTACATTTTGTTATATAAATGAATTGGGTCCGATCAACTTAATTTGACTTACATTACACGTGGTAGCTGTGTCCTAGCAATTTTAGAACAGTCTGTATACTTCCACGGTAATTGTTCCTCAGAAATCTCTGCTAAAATTTCATCACTGGGGATACCAGTCAGACGAACTCGGCATCAGGCCCAACACACACAACAACACTTTACCGAAACTCGTTCATCTATAGAACGGCGAAGAGCTTTGGAATTCTTAGCCAATGAAAGTAATTCCAAGAACTCACAACCTTCAAACCTTCTCTCCCTAGGCACGCACAATGTTCTTCAAACATCATAGGAATTTCCTTTCGTGCGCTCCAAGAGATACAAATAAATCCTTCTAGCTAGTATCCCATTAAACAAGTGACCACTTTGTATATACTTCTATATTTTGATAATTTTATTAATCCATAACATACACCTATGAGGAATGATGTGCTATACTGATCAGAGATATTGAAAAAGTTGCATGATAGGAATATGAAAATTAATCTGAAAAAAATGTGATTTTTTTGTGGAAAAAGTCGCTTTCATTGGTCGTGAGTTAGATGGTTATATAATAAAGTGGATAAAAAATAGTAGAAAAAGTTGAATCGATGAGAAAACCTCATGATCTGAAATCTTTGATTTTGACGAAATAAAGAATCGACGATTGTGAGTCATATTTTCCTATTCATATACATTCACAAAGAGTGAGCAAAATTATTCGAAATTATTAACGGTTAATTATTTTCGGACCTATTTAGAAGGAAAGCATTGTAATGCGAACACTGATCATCTATTTCTAAAATATGTCATTGCACCATATTCGCAGACAATACAGTGCTATTATATGCAAATGAAAATCCTTCAATTTCAGAAGAAACTATAAACGAGGATTTACAAAAATTTTAAAAATGGCTTTATTCTAATATTCTTTCCATTAACGCTACAAAAACTCAATATATGATTTTCAAACAAAGAAATAAACGAATTATTTAATTGAATATAAAAATAAATAATGACAATAGAAACAAACTTCTCAGATGAAATTTCTTGGCATTTGGATTGATGATAAATTGAGGTGGAAAAAACATATTGATTATCTAACGAAACAAATTTCTTCTATCATTGGGGCCCTGAGAAGGTGTCCCAAATCGAATCCCAAAATAGCTAATATATTTTAATATTCACATATTCTCAGTAGAATCAAATATTTAATTTATATATGGGGATCATGTTCTGAAGATAATTTCAATAAAATCTCTGCTGTTTATAAAAAAAGCTTTGAAAGTACTGTATCGTCTACGATTTGACACTCCAACAAATCAACTTTATTCCATGACTAACACTTTTTCTTCGGAGGAACATTATGCAATGGACACTATCAAATTATCTTATTATCAATAAAATGATTAAATCTAATTCAATATTTACTAGAAATTCAGAAATTCACAATTATAATACAAGACAACGTTACTTGTTCCATCTAGATTCTGCAAAGTGTGTAATTGGTCAAAAGAGAAAAATATTTTCTTCGAAAAAGAAATTGAATTCAAGTGGTTTATTTTTTTGTTTCTCTTTATTTTTATTTGTTTTTTTTAGTAATGTTCAATTAAAATTATATATTTTTTGTAATTCTAATAAAAGTTACATTCAATGAAATAATATTGTATAATTATAAAAGCAACATCATGAACAGTCTTGTCTGTTCATGCAATTCCATGATAGAAACTATAAAAACGATTTACATTAACTCTCTCATAATCTTTAATGAATAATTGTTACTTTGAAATATGATATGCCTACATTTATTGATAACAATATTTACTAGAAAGGGTAATAATTTAGGAATTGTAGCAATGTATTACAAATAAATGTTATTATTATTATTATTATTATTATTAAAAAAACTGGACATCTACGAGACCGTTTAGCTAGGTGGCAAATTTTTCTCAGATGATATATACATTATACATCACAAATCAGGAAAAGA